AATGTGATTGTGATTACTTATGATCGTGAACAACTTTTAATTATAAAATAAATTAAATAGTACRYACGCTGTGATTGGTTGATAGCCATGTTTGCATGAGGGTATGTAAACACAGTTTTGACGTCACAACTTTCTTGTTTTCCCGGTACAAGTTCAAAAATTTACAGTTTCTTTCGAGGAAAAAAACGCACCCAACAATGTATTTTGAAGACAAAGTTCCAAATTTTGACTTGTGTCAGGGCCTCAGGCATATCCCTATGACCTGGTACCATAGCAACCCTGTCACAACTCACCGTGCATCTGTCACACTGAAGGTCTGGTCAGTGAAATACTTACCTATATATACCTATCATAAGGAGGAAGGGTGGGAAATCCAAATAGCGTCTAGTGTATCGAAATGCATGCGATTGTTCGCCAAAGGTCATGCTAGCGTGATTACATGGAAAGAGGTTAGTTGAGCTTGAGCCTGGAGGACAAATTAACAAACTAACATTCGCGTGTGATCGAGTTGACCCATTTACCGATATTCATTGAAACACATTTAAACGTCACAGGAAGCCCGGCATGAAACTTGAAACTGAGAGACTGGGAAGCCTGTGACGTAGCCACGGGTAAGAGAGCAGCCCCACAGTCGGTCGAAGCCATTTTATTTGATATCCAAGGAATTAATTTACGAAAAATTTATGCTTACTGTAACAATTCTTCGGAGGTTTCCCATAGTTTTTTTAGTTTGTGTACATCGTCGACCATTTCTTTGTTCAAAACATTCTCCTCTTTCAAATATTCTGTAGCTTGTTGGATATTTTGACTGCTTAGGTCAGGATGAGCAATGTCTATTCTTTTTTGTTTAAGGATTTTAAGATTWTTTACCAAACGTTGTTCCCAATGAATCTTTTCCTTTATTTCCGTCAGCCGATTTCTTGCTGCCTCTTGGGCCTCATGTTCCAGAACTTTGATATATTCTTCAATTTCTCTAAATTCGTAGAAAGTCTTTTCCTTGTAGTGTTCTCTCAGGACGTACTTGCACATGTTTATTTGTATGGCTCTGTCAATTTGCCCAATAATAAGCACACTGTCTTTATGCTGTTTGCGTGCTTTCTGATTTTTATTTTCAGTTTCTAACTTCTCAATCCTCAATTTCAGTGTTTGTTCACATCGTTCATTTTCACATCTAACATCTCAATCCTCAAGTTCAGTGTTTTATTCTCATCTTTCATTTCTTGCAGCTGTTTCTTCAACAATTCATTCTCATCTTTCAGGTCTTGTATTTTCTTTTCTAAATCTTTGCTCCTTTTTTCAAGACATTCAATTCTGCTCTTCGTGCTGCACAAACTTTCTCTTAACTCTGCCGTCAAAGATGCTATCCTTTCCTCATTTCTATCGATTCGGCCTTGGATGTTCTTTTGATCATGATTTAGGTCCATTGTGATTCTGGATTTTTTTCTAAAAATGGTAAAAAATACTATTGAAGAAATAGAAAACGCGCGCGCGTGCTGTGTGCTGTCATAAAGCACGCGGGGGTTGGCAGAACACGAGAGAAGTGTTAGGAGGAAGTGTTAGAAATGTTAGTGCTTCTCGACACTTCTCGAGTGTTCTGCCAACCCCCAAGTGCTTTATGTCTGCACACATCACAGCAAGCAAGTCTTTTATTTCTTTTATAAAATACAAATTACAACTGTACAATAATAGATAGGAATGACGCAACGGAAAGTGCGCGCGCGTGCAATGTGCTCTCATAAAGCACGTGCTCCAAACCAATCAGAACGCGACATTCATAACAGTTATTTTATAATATACTTTTAAAAAATCGAAACGACGATAAACTTTTGAGACACAAAATACAGTATAGATGATTTCATATTTATGAGACAGARTTTCGGTGAATATTTTGTAATAATCTATTATTTAACTATTTTTATATTCTTTATTATTTATCTATTATTTATTAGTTAACTCGGCGCAGGCCAAAAATATGGTTCTGGAGCCCACGTTAGTTATAAGGCAAGTCTTATCCTGTTGTTTCCTTCTGATCTTGTATTATATCCATCTTGAAATCACTGGAGATTTCTGTAATCTGATTGGTTCTCATMAGCATTGCAATTTTATCACAAATTGCACTCCATTCAGTTCAATTACATTACTACCTTGAACTTGACCAACTCTCTTGTCATGCTTCGACAGGTGAGCTACGTACATCTGATTAAAGATAGCAAATTTCTTAGTTATTTGGTTCTTCATCTTTGCTGTCTGTGTCATCACTTTTTCTTCTCTTTGTTTCTCCAAGTTTTTCTGTTGCTTTCTTCCTCATATCTTCAGCTCACACCTTCTCTTCCTGCTTCTTTTTGTCATCGACATCTCTCAACTCCTCGAATTCATCAATTCTCTCCTTTATAGCTGTTATAGCTTCATATATCTCACCGTAATCTGTTTCAATACCACTTGCTTTAGCTTCTTCTTCCTCTCTTTTCTTATGCTCTTTGAGAATCTTTTCGGACTTTTCCCTTACAGATCTCTGCGTAACCTTCAATCCTTGCTTTTGTAAGTCTTCGGCGATGGTATTCCACGCTGCTCCCTTTCTCTGGTTCCAACTTTAAATCTGTACGGCTCTTGTACGACCACTAATCTTAGGAGGAGTGTCCTTTTTCCACACGAAAAGTTTCTTCGGTGTAGCCATCGTATAATAAGCTTAAAAACCTCTTTTATTTGATCTAAAATTGAAAAAATAATGTTTGTTTATTTATGTTTGGTCAAAGAAGTATTCTTCTGTAAATAGAAATACAAAGAAAACAGCAATATAAAGAATAACTTACCATTTCAAAACTCGTACTGCAGAAGACGACTTTTGATGAAAATCTTGTTGCCTTCACGGAGACGGCGACGAGATTCCTTAGATGGCGTGATGCTGTCTCGCTCTCGCGCATGCGCAGTAATTAAAAAAATGCAAACTCGTACTCGTCGTCAAATCTGAAGCTCTCTAATAAAGCGTCGAACGAAGTGGATCGCGGCKATAAGCAGAGATGACTTGACGGAACAAATCCTGAAACACGACCGTGTTTGTAGCCGTCATTTTATCTCCGGACGTCCGGCAAAACTCTGGGATAAATATAATGCTGATTGGGTGCCTACACTCAACCTTGGGCACACGAAAAGTAACAACAAAGACAAGGGGAAAGTAGTCCAAAGAGAGAGCCAAAGCTAGAAGAAAGAAGAAGCTTGAAGATGCAAAAACCACGATCGAAGAGAAAAGACTTCGGTTGAATGATGAAGGGACTCAAGTCTCTATTATCCCTTTTGCATCTTCGACAACAGAAGAAATTGATGTGTCGTTCGCGGATCAATACATTGATGAAAACGAAAAATCATCGCAGACTGAGGTCAAAAGCTTTGCCGAGATGAGCACTCAGACCGAAGGGTTGGCACGTACGCCTAAGATTAAGTCTTGATGCCTCTTCACAGACAGACGAATTTGATTATTTATTTAAGTCAAACAAAAAAGTCACCGATTTTAATGAAGATTATTTCAGAAATAGCGACGATAAAGTACTATTTTATACTGGCCTTCCCTCTTATGAAATCCTCAACTTTGTGTTTGAACTTTGCTTCCCGTCGCTCCCAAACCCTGAGTCCTTTTCAAGAATATGTAATGGTCTTGATAAAGTTAAGATTGGATGTACCACACCAAGACCTAGCTTATAGGTTCAACATCTCAGTGCCCACAGTATCTAGAACATTTCATTCTTGGTTGACAACTATGGACATTCATTTATCCACTGGCCAGACCGTGAAAGCTTGATGCAATCAATGCCACATTGTTTTAAGGTCCGTTTTGGAACTAAAACGACCGTAATATTTGACTGCTTCGAGATTTTTATCGAGAAACCTACAAACCTACTTGCTACAGCACAAACATT